GATATGTGGATGCAGACTATGCAGGGGACTTGGATGACAGGAGGTCTACCACAGGTTATGTGTTTACTCTTGTGGGAGGACCTATTTGTTGGAAGTCCATGGTACAACCTATAATTGCACTATCTACTACTGAGTCAGAGTATATGGCAGTAGCTGAGGCTGCCAAAGAGGCTTTGTGGCTTACAGGTTTAGTCAAGGAGCTGGGTGCCCAGCAAGGTGGAGTTCAATTGCATTGTGACAGTCAGAGTGCCATTTATTTGGCAAAGAACCAGGTGTATCATGCGAGGACCAAACATATAGATGTGAGGTTTCATAAGATCAGGGAACTGATTTCTTCTGGTGAACTATTACTTGAGAAAGTTCACACTTCTGAGAATGCAGCAGACATGTTGACAAAGCCTGTTACTACAGACAAGTTCAAGCACTGCTTGGACTTGATTAATGTCTCTAGTTGCTAGATGGGAGATGCCTCAACTCAGCGTCTCCGGTGGAGTTCCCGAATACATGTTCTTTTTTTTTTTTTTTTTCTTCTAAGGGGTGAATATTTGCCAAGGTAGAGATTGTTAGAGTATGTGTGGCTCATAGTTGCTGTGTGCATAATGGCGGCTCCGCTCCGGCATTTGTTTTGCGGGATTGATATAAAGGGGACGCTGATTAGTTGAGGGTGCGGGAGCAACGTTCCCGCGGTATGGTACATGGGTATTTTTGTAAATACGTCCATATTAGGGTTATATAAATACTTAAGATGTAACCCTATTTTATAATGAAAAAGAACGGCCGCTCTCTCTCGTGAATGTAGGCACATTACCGAACCACGTAAATCTCTGTGTGTTATTTTCTCCTGCTTTCTTAATTGTTTGATTTCTTACTATTTACCATAATTGTTGCACGATCACAACACTTATCGATTGGTTGCTACACCTAAGGTTACACTTGGTTTAAGAATGTCTTTTAAGTTATGCAGGGAAGAATTTCCTCAGGAAATTTAAACTAAGTTCGATTCAGGTTACAGGGCCTTCAGGATAAAGCCTGAAAGGCAGTGGTATGATTGCTTATATTTGTTTGACAGCAGTCTCTGATTTGCATGGTTCCACGTTGTCAAGAGTTTTTATCTTTTAGTCATGAAAACTCCTATTGCAACCATTCGTCTTAGTAAAGCTTATCACTGTTCGTTAAGGCAAAGGTAAACCCAAGCTCCTCTAAGCACCCTCGTTCACATTCCCGGTCTACAACTAACTCCCTTATCCCTTAGCCATATACCCCGCCTCTTTTCTGACAATATCTTTGGTATTCTACCTGAGTTTTTATGCTTTTATTATTCAATGCTGACCTTGATTTAGTTACCATGCCACTAACATTACCTTCAATAAACTCCTGTTAGATATGAGATTTTGATTGTGGAGTTAATTAGGACCCATATATATTAGATATGGGAATTGATTCTCTCGCCCCCTTCTTTACGTCTCTGCTTCAACATACAGCTTCCATACAAGCAAAACTAGAAAAAAGGATATACTGTCAGGTGACCCCACTCTCTGCAATGCATATATACAAAAAAAGTTAGGAAAGTACCGTCAGGATGGCACTTGCGGATTAAACTGAATCTACATGGACATGCGCATTAATGGTTTATTTTCCCGGAAGAGAAAATTAGGGAGAAATAAGAGTGATTCAATTTTGAACTGAAGCGAACCATTTTTGTTTGATACGTACGTAAGCTTCTATAAATACCCCTTGTTTGTGATATCCAAATTCACAATTCTTATACCCATGACTCTGCCAGTCTATCTTCCATTCGGTTTCTCCTCATTGCCTGTCATCGATCCCAGCCTCCCGGTGCATCAACATCATTCATATTTATATCTGGAGCTATCACCAAAATTGCATGCTAAACCAGCATTCCCTCCTACTCCTGGAGAGTGGAGTTGCAGTTGTAGGATATGACTGCGTTGGAGGGTTTCACTGGCAGCATAAATGAAAGGGCGATCTTTCCCTGTTCAACAATCTGGCAGAGTAGTCAACCTTAGACCAACAACCATAACTACAGAAGCAAAAACCCAAGTGCATATGTAATTATATATTCAGATGAAATATAGTAGCAGTAGCGACAATTTATAAACCACCACAAATTCTCACACTTTATTTTATAAAACGGTTAGCTACAGAGACAGACAGACAATTGACGATACTTACAGTGGCCACCGAAAACTCAGTAGCATAGGGGGACAGGGACAGGCTAAAAGCTATTTATTTATACTAATATATATGCAGTAGTAATTATTAGGAAGGAGTAGGAGTAGTTCCTAATTACACCACTGCGTCTGCGTGCGTCGAGTGAGTAGTGACTAGTTTTAAGAGGCGCAAGGAACACAGGTGCAGCCATCACCGCACTTGCAGAAGTCCTTTCCGGGTCCACTCACCACACTCTTGGAGCAAGTGCAGGGATTGCAGCCACAGTGCTTGCCGCAGGAGCACTCCCTGTGCTGCATGTTGGGATCATCTCCGGTCGCCGTCTCGCTGGACCTGCACTTGCAGGCGATGCCGCCGGGGCATGGAGAAGGACAGCCGCACCTGTCGTTGCAAACAACACCACCTCCACCTCTCGTGTCCGCCATTTTTCTCTACTCCCTTCTTTCCCCTTTCGTTTGTATATATCTAACTCTCTTCTTCAAACATGTGCTACTGCTCCGCATGTGCTCTGTCGTTGGTGTTGTTGTTTAAATACTGTTTGAAAAGAAACATCCGAAATCCAGGTGGCACACACCAGAGTTTTGTGAAGATGGATGCGTGGAAAAAGAAGTGCACGTGTCATGCATCCATGCATACTCGTCGTTCTCAGCGCAGACCATACCACGTGCACAGCATGCAGGAAACCTCATCTTGACCACTGCATGTAGGCAGGAGGTTAGCTGCTTATTACACCAAAATTTTTACCTAGTTTGTTAGTCTAATAATATGATTTTATTAATATTTAATGAAACTCCTAATTAATTCAAAAATTATAGTAGGTAAAGCTTTCACTTCCTCCGGCAACGACTATTATGCAACCCAAATCCAAGATACAGGTCACTCTCTAATTCTCCAAGGAAGCATGCATACATCTTTTCCAACAAAGTAAACTTATATGTAATCTTTTGGGTTAATTATAAATTGTACTCTCAAAGATAGTTGAAATCTCAAATTGTACTCTTAAAGATAAAAAATCTCAATTTATTCTCTCAAAGATAGAAATTTGTATCAATGTGCACCCCCAAAGATAAAAATCTCAATTTGTACTTTTAAAGATAGAAATTTGTATCAATGTGCACTTAAAACTAAATTGATAAATTATATCTAGACCCCCTATACTTGTCACTTAATCATTTAGATTCCTTCACATTTAGAATATTACTCCTACATCTCATGACGTTTGTACACGCGTAACACGTAACCCCCCTTCATTGATATCTGTTAATATAACCGTTAAAAAATATGATTTTATTCTAATAAAAAATTATAATATATAATGGTAAGTTTGACTTTAAACTTTTGAGTATATCAAACCCACAAAATAAAGGGTAATATGAAATTATAATGTTTTATTAGGATAAATCATATTTTTTAACGATTATATTAATAGATAGCAATTAAAAGGGATTACGTGTTATATGTGTACAAACGTCATGAGATGTAGGAGTAATATTTTAAATGTGAAGGGGTCCAAATAATTAAGTGACAAGTATGAAGGGATCTAAGTATGATTTATCAATTTAGTTTTAACTGCATATTGATACAAATTTCTATTTTTGAGGGTGCAAATTGAGGTTTTTGTCTTTGGGGGTGTACATTGATACAAATTTCTATTTTTGAGGGTGCAAATTAAAATTTTTAATCTTTGGGGGTACAATTTGAAATTCCAACTATCTTTCAGGGTGCAACTTGATATAAGAGTTCTAATAAATTGATCAAATCAAATAGAAAATAAATTAGATTAATTACAAATTATATTCTAAAAGATAAAAAATTTTAATTCAACTTTAAAGATAAAAATTTGTATCAATGTGCATTTAAAATTAACAGTCGTTAGTTTATCGTCTAAAACTAATTAAATAAATTACACTTAGATTTTTTCATGTTTGTCACTTAATCATTTGGACTCTTTTACATTTAAAATATTATTCTTATACATCCTGACGTTTGTACACGTGTAACACATAACTCATTGTCATTGATATCTGTTAATATAATCGTTAAAAAATATGATTTTATTTTAATAAAAAATTATAATTTCATATTACTCTTTATTGTGAGGGTATGTTATACTGTAAAGTTTAAAATTAAGTTGACCATTTGAATGTCTAATATAATTGATGAGACATTTTCGAAATACTCCAAGATGAAGACACGTGTCATCGGTGTCATTAATCCTTGTTACATAGATCACGTACCCATCGGGTCACAAGTCCCCTCTTCCCCCGAGGTGTTGATCATGGGGATCGAGTGACATTTAGTACGTTTTTATGTACCGACACGTACCCTCGGTCTGATATGGTACATCGGTCGCTAGGCTCTCCCTCTCGGCTCCGAGATGTTCCTCTTCCTCGGTACCGAGATGTACCCCCCTCGTCTAGGATGTCGTTCTCTGCTCCAGCAGAGACTATTGATGCACTGGTCACTAGCCTAGGCTAGGCTAGGTTAGTTATCATGACCTCGTCTTACACAATTGGTGTCAAAAGGCACAGGAAGGCAGGGGCCACAGCCAATGAGGAATGAACGCGTGACATATTGTGTCACATCAGAAACAGAAAGACCGCATGACCTTGCTGACATGCGATTTGAAAAAACAAGTATTTAATTACACCATTCCTTTGATGAGACTGCATTCAATGCGGTAAGACTCGGAAGTGAAAGACAATAAATGTCTCTAAGGCTAAGCATTTATTGCATCCTCCCCGAGAGGAGCTCATTGAACCGTCGGCAGGCTGATGACACAGTCTTGATTGCTCGGGGTCCCGAGCAGTTAAAAGAGAAGACATTTCTCATAGGAATCAGTGCGCACGTTGTCTGTATCTAATGATCACCGACTGACCACACTGACAGCAATCATAAGTATTTGAGGTATAAATACTCCTCACTAAAGGCAAGAAAAGGCAGGTGAAACCTTTGCTACAAATTATACTCAATGTTTTCTTCTTCCTCTCTCTCAAAAACTGACTTGATCGTCGGAGGGGATACGTTGGAGAACACTCCGGCGCCCTTCTAACTTGTTCTTCTTTGTTCCAGGAACCTTTTTTTCAGCCTTACTGGATCATTCCTTTGATCCGCGAGGGTCTCCCATTACCGTTCCAGGTTACCACTGGATCTCACAGGCTGTTCCAAGCAGCGTGGTTGACCACTCAACTGACTCACTCGAGTTCACCAAGAGAGAGATCTGTTCTCGTTTTTATATTGTGCAAGATCTAGCACGCACAATCTGGCGCCGTCTGTGAGAAACGACTAGTTTTCTTAGTTTTTTTCTCTATAAAGAACAGTGACCATGGTGAACACTCGACAAAAAAGGCAAGGGCCCCACCAAAGAAGTCTCGAATTACAAGCTCCCTGTCACCACGGAGGAAGAGATCACACTAATGGGAATAAAAATGCCTCTACTCAGTCAAGAGGGGTTACCCCTCAAACCAGTATGGGAATCAGGTCATGAGGATCAGCCCCCTGGCTCGTCAGCTGGCGGAGGTGATCGAAGAAAAGTTTGGCGATAGATTACGACAGCTGGAGAAGGACAATGTAAACGTCTTAAGTTGGCTCAACGAATTTGCCGCCTCCGGCGAAGGGTCAAGGAACTCATTCCTCTCTCGTGGGCTCCCCGCCCGGGAGGCAGAAACGAAGGATCTAAGGAATCATCTAAATAACAAGGCAGAAAGCTCTAGGGCCCCAAAGCGATCGAGAGCCAACGAGCACCCTCCTAACGACCATTCAAGGAAGGCAAGACCATTAGCCCTGGACGACCTCCGGCGAGGATTGTCTAGACGGAGGAAGGGAGATGAGTCCGAGGAGAATTCTACCCTATTCACACGGCGCCCAGGAAATGAGGGGCCCATTGATGAACTCAAGGACTTCAGAAGACATCCCGTCAGGGAGGAAATTGATCTCAGAGCCCGGCTGGAATCCAGGAGAAAGAGTAAAGCTGTCCAGGATGAGGTCGAAGACGAGGTCATACAAACACCCTTTACCAGGGAGATCGGAGAGATGGAGATTTCAAGAAAGTTCGTCGTGCCGAGGTTCAAAACTTATGACGGACGGTTCGATCCCGAAGCCCATTTTAGGCAATACAAGCAGATGATGTCCCTCCATCATTCGGACCAACGGTTCCTCTGCCGAGTGTTCCCTAAGAGCTTGGGGGACTCTGCGATGAAGTGGTTCGAGACGCTTCCCCCCGACAGTATTTGGTCGTAGAAGGAATTGACGAGGCAGTTCCTGGCTCGATTCATTACGGGGAGTAAGCGGCCCAAAGACGTTGGATCATTGCTAACCCTCAGACGTATGGAATCCGAGACCCTTCGCCAGTATGCCATCCGATACTGGGAAGAGGTTAATGAGGTAGAAGGCTGCTCGGAAGTCATGGCAGCGGCGTCTTTCCGGCTCGGCTTGGTGAGGGACACGGACGTGTATCTATCCCTAACCAAGAAGACTCCCTCGGATATGGGTGAGCTGATGGCCCGAATAAACAAATACTCAAGGATCAAGGACGAGATGAGAAGCAGCAAAGGCCGAACCCTCCAATCTAAGAGAAAGGAGAGGGAGCGGGAAGATACTCCCCGAAAGGGATTGCTACCCCCTCTAGGGGGTTCGTCCAAAGGAGTTCACACTATGTTCAAGGAACCCATCTTCAAGTTGCTCCATAAGATCAAGCATGAGTCGTTCTTCAAGTGGCCGCCCAGGATGCAGAGCGATCCCTCCACCCGTGATCAAAAGGTTAGGTGTTCCTATCACCGGGATTTCGGACATTGCACCGAAAGCTGCAGGGTATACAAATCGTTTTTGGAAAGATTGGTCCGAGACGGACACTTGAAAGAGTACATATAGGGCCCAAGTTAGAAGAGAGACACGCCCTTGCCCCGACAGAGGAGCCGGACAACGTCATAGATGTCATCCATGTATGTCCTCTGGATTGCCCCACGTCCAAGGAACTCGAGTCCGACCTCAAGAGGGTAGCATTTACAAAGAAGGTAGCTGAGGATGATGGAGGGCCACCCAGTAAAAGGGCCAGGGCTGGTGAGCCCAGCATCACGTTCTCCGACGCGGACTTGACATGCGTAGTGACTCCTCATAACGACGCCCTTGTCTTGACCCTGAAGATAGGAAAATTCGACGTTAAAAGGGTGTTGATAGACTCTGGAAGTTCCTCGGAAGTGATGTACTCCGAGATTTTAAAACGGATGGGTCTTGGCCTCAAGGACCTCACTAAGGTCAAGACACCTCTAATCGGATTCAACGGCTCGTTCGCCATGTCCATAGGCAAAATCACATTGCCAGTTGTCACAGGTCCCTTCATCATCAATACTGAGTTTGTCGTGATTGATACAGACTCTTCCTACAACGTGATCATGGGGCGAACATGGCTGCATGCGTTGGGAGCGGT